CTTCAGTCTTTAGTGTTTAATGTATCAAATCTGTTCTTCAGATGATCTCTAAATTTAGGTGAGATATATTTTGGTTCTCATGGACTTGTTTTCATTTTCTTCAGCTTCAGTTTGAATTCAGTAAATCCAGTGATGATGAAATTAAAGAATTCTACAAACTTCTTCAGTCTGAAGTTGATCAAACATGCACTCAAAATGCATTAATAATTACTGATGAGTAGGATATGATCGTTGGAAATAAAGAAAAAAGGTCAGTAGTTGGGAAATATGGTCTTGGCTATACTTAGTGACACTTACAAGATTCTGTCATGTAATGTCTATATAATTCTGGAGATTACATGATAGAATTTTGCAAGACCAATGATTTATTCATTGTAAATACTATTTTTCACCAACACAAAAGGTGTCACCAGATTGAATGCAAATAATCAAATTGACTACATCTGTGGAAGAGATGATGGAGATGCTCAATATCATTAGTTAAAACAAGATCAGTAGCAAACTGTGGAAAAGACCATCCATTGTTCATATGCAAGTTCAGGCTGAACTTCAAGAAAATAAAAGCAAGTCCATATAAGACAAAATATGACCACTGGACCACTAAGTCGATTTGAACCACAAGTTTGACAGTTCAAACTTACAAACCACTCCTCAGAAATGCTACACAGGTTTGCTATGACTAAACAGCATTTGGCAACAACAACATATCTGAATGGTGCCTAATTTAGAGAACTTCTCAAGGCCTGATTTGATGCATTAGACTCTAATGACCAAAAACCAGATGATATGAAGAATATCATGCATGAAGAAATCCAAGGGCTTTAAAAAGACAGTGAAGAGAGAAAAGACCAAGTAGATGTCATAAGAGACTCTGAAATTTGCACTTGAGCATTGTTGTTGTTAATTGCTGTCAAGTTGGTTCTGACCCATAGTGACCCTCTATAGGGTTTCCAAGGAGTGGCTGGTGAGTTTGAATTGCTGACCTTGCAGTTCAAACCAACTTTATGTTCCAGTGCATTAACCCACATGCCACACCAGGACTCCAAAAAATATTTGAACCTCTGTTTGCCTGTTGTACTTTTTAAAAGCAGTAACTTTTAAAATCAGTTACCAGGAGTCCTGGTGTGGGGCTGTGGGTTAATCTGCTGGGATAAATTTGATGGCACTTAAGAACATCAGTATTCCAACCTTTTATCCTCAAGTACTATTTTTCACTCAATAAAAATTGTTTAACTTACCCAGAAGCTATTATGAAAGTAGCGGTTATCAGTGCAGTTGAAAGTTTCCAATAATTGAATAGTATTAGTCAGATGCTCATAAGGAACCAGGATGACAAGTAGTCTGATGAATTTATTTTGATGAGAGACAATACTATTTATTAGAAACAACCAAGAAATGTAAGGAAAGTAATGCTTTCAGTCCTAATTGGTAATTTGGTAATTTTGCTCAAAGAGAAGATTCTTCACATGTAAAAACATAGCTATTGGCAAGAACTCCTGTTTCATGGAATTCTAAGAAATTTGAATGATAGGTAATAAGAGAACATCATTAGCATAATAAAAAACAGTCACAGATTTTGTAGATGTGGATTTGAATGGAAATATGGTAATTCATCCTGGAGTAGTTAACTCTGGAATTCCTAAATGCAAAATGTCATTCAGTTAAGTGTAGCATACGGTGGAAGTCTGATGCTATCTATGTTCATTACTTGATTACACCCACCCCTCACTTGGAGTCCTGATGTGGTGCTGTGGGATAATGCACTAGATCTCAAGGTCAGTTTGAGCCACAAGGTCAGCAGTTCAAGCTCAAACGTATATATACCAAACAAATATTTTTTTTTAAAAAAATGGTGTTCTTTTTAAAACAAATAACTCTTGTATAAAATGACCAATATATTGAATAGAAACTTTTATGTTTCCATGTCCCATGGAAATAACCTCTCAAAGAAAGAAGCAGTTCTGATAGGTTTTATCTAATAATTTTATTTGGTCATAATTCTTTAATCAACATCTAAATATTCCTAAGCAGAATGTTGTTGTTGTTGTTATGTGCCGTGGAGTCGATTCCAACTCATAGTGACCCTGTCCAGGGTTTCTGAGGCTGTAAATCTTTACGGGAACAGAAAGCCTCATCTTTCTCCTGCGGAACAGCTGGTAGTTTCAAACTGCTGACCTTGTGGTTCGCAGCCCAATTCGTAACCACTATGCTACCAGAGCGCCTTGTAAAATAGTTCTATCATTGCTTTTATACTCTTTCCCTCAGAAATGAAATCCTATTTCTTACCACAAGATTAATTTCATTAAAATAATTCAAAGAAAGTTGATTAATTACTCTTTATCTCTTTTTAACAAGCCTAATCCCCATGTTTATTTAAGCACTACTACACCAGGACGGTGGTTCAAGCTCACCAGCTGCTCCTTGGAAACCCTATACAGGGTCGCTATGGGTCGAATCGACTTGACAGCACTTAACAATGAGAACAACACCAGGACATTCATTTTGCCAGTCATTCTGTAACTGGTTTTGAATATGATGTAGATGCATTTTACTGATACATGACAGATCATGAGTACACACATCTGTTTAACTTCAACTGTCTATTACCTAGCACAGAGTCACACATGAATGCACACATGAATCTAAATGGTCAAACATTATTTTAAATAAGATCTTATATCCTGGGGGAAAAGGGTTCTCTGGGTGGTACAACGAATGCTTAACCTACTCAACTGCTAATTGAAAGGTTGCAGATTCAAGTCCACCCAGCTGCACCTTGGAAAAAAGGTCTTTCCTAAAAAACTGTCATTGAAAACCTTATGGAACAGTGTTTTACACTGACACATATACGGTCACCAGAAGTTGTAATTGACTCAAGAGCAGCCAGTTTTATCCTGCTATTTAAACTTCTCATTTGTGTTTACAGATTTTCCTTTTGTTAACTTTTCTTGTCTTACTATTGAATTCTGAGCTCATTTCTCTAACTCATTCTTGGTATCTTCATCAAGACATGTGCCAAATCTTACCCTATGACATGTGCCAAATCTTCTCCTTTATTTCTGGCTATAAATATCCCAAACAAAAAGACTTCTGTAGATCTTTCACTGAGAATTCCCTGCTAGCCTTGACACTTCCTTGGTCTACTTAGTGAGGCGGGTCATCTCTAGACACATATATGCTCACATATATGAACAGACACTCATGTGCATGTGTTGCACACATAACACAAGCATACACGCTTAACCATAAGAACAAAATACGTACTCCTTGAATTTGTGCTATATCTACAGCTAATACTGTCGTCAGGGCACCTGTGTTGTTTTCCTTATCATCAAACCAGGAGAGATCCTAGAGAAAAAAGGAAATTAACATATGATTAGCAAAAAGATTTTTCTTTGATTCCTGATGCTGCAATAGTAAACAGAAGATCTTTATCTACCTCCTTTATTCCAGCTATGTAAATCTTGTAAATACTTTGGACCAGATGACCTGTTTTTACTTCACAAAAATCCATATTTAGATATAATCTGAAGAACTTGGCACATCATTAAAGTACTTAATGAAAATGTTTAAAGTGGTTATTTCAAACCATAAGTAATGGTCAGATGGTGAATTGCAGAATTTTTTACAAAGTAAGGCAGTGCATATCACATTTAGAAATAGTTTTACATCTTCCTACCTAAACTGATTAATTATGATGATTGTCTTTAGGATGCAGTGAAGCAAGATTTTTCCAGATACTATATTACTCTCTAGAGCTAACAACATTCTGAATGCTGCAAAAGGGAAACATTGAGCATTGTACTCCCTGTGGTGAAGTCTGCATTAGGAAGGGACCATCATGCCAAGCCCTTTTGATTCAGGTGCTCACTTGTGAGAGTCAGTTAGCCAGTGGTATTTATGGAACTTAGCAATGATCATTGTGAGAAGCTAAAAAGGCAGAAGGCTGTAAAACCCCTGCAGGCCAAAAGCATGCAATCTGAAGAAGGAGACAGTTCAAAAATAAAAGCAATAAGAACCTAATGTGATAACCAATTTCATTTTCAATAGCCAATGGAGACAAACAGTATTTCTTAGCACTTCTCTACCTGAGGAATTCAGATTTCCTTTTAAAAGCTATTGAATGCTTCCTCCCACTCACTCAAACCACTTACATCTCTTGTACATTAAAATTCTGGAGAGAATGTTACTGAAAATATTTTATTTGTAGTATGGATAAAGCAAAAGAACTGTTGGTTTACTACAATCAGGCAGGGCCCCGAGGCCCAGAGTACATATTTCTGCCGACCAAGAAAACGAAGGCATAATGGTCTCGGGGCTGGACATTTATCCTGCAGTTGTGTGAGAAGAAAACTTCCTTAGAGGAATCTGCCAGGAGGTAGGCTGGGTAAAACCCCTGCATAGAGCACTGTCCTGTAGCCACTGTGTTGGAAAGGGTCCCAATGAGTTTTGTAGAGATCATGAATATGGCGCTGTGGGCTAGGTATTGGGCTGCTAACTTCAAGGTTGCTGGTTCAAACCCACCAGTCTCTTCCAGGGAGAAAGATGAGGCAGTCTGTTCCCGTACAGATTCACAGTCTCAGAAATGAGATCTAAAGTTGCTATGAGTTGGACTCGACTCGATGGCAGTGGGTTTGTTGTTGTTTGTTTTGAGATCACGAGTTGCACTGCACAGTAGCTACTTTGAAGATATAACCTTAACCTGACTCTAGCATAGTATACGCACACATCAGCAACTATAGTAACTATGGCATTCAGACTTGAAGGCATGACTTGCTTTTTATTGTATAACCTAAACAGTTAAGACGTGCCATTGTTATTGTTGTTGTTGTTAAGTGCCTTCGAGTCGGTTCCGACCCGTAGCGACCCTGTACAGGATTTCCGAGGGTGTAAATCTTTACGGGAGTAGAAAGCCTCATCTTTCTCCCGCGGAGCGACTGGTAGTTTCGAACCGCTGACCTTAAGGTTTGCAGCCCGATTCGTAACCACTACGCTACCAGAGCTCCTATAGATCTGCAAATTATTTCTGGATGTTTGTAATGCACCAAGAAATTTTAGATACAATATAAAGTAAAAAGCAGACAATAAATTTATTATCGAATATTGCATTTCGAAGGAGCTCTGGTGGCGTAATGGGTTATGAGTTGGGCTGCTAACCAGAAAGCTATAGTTTGAATCAACCAGCTTCTTTGAGGGAGAAAGATGAGGCTTTCTGCTGCTGTTTGGACACCCTGTACAGTCGCTATGAGTCTGAACCGACTCCATGGCACATAACCACCACCGCTGCATTTCTGGTTCTATGGTGACCTTCTATAAAACAGAAAGCACCAGATACATATGCAGTCAGCTTTGGTAACCACCTACTACTCAATTAACAAGAAATCCTCAAGCAGAGGCAATATATGATACAACACTTGTAAAGTTTCTGCAACATGGATGGTGTTGAGTAAAAATGAGCTTGCTGTCTTTCTTTTGATAGAAAAATGATTCTACATGATTATAATTAAGGCCATCAGGTTTTTAAATACTAGTAAATATTTGTTTTAGGCCAAAAAATGCTACTAAAAAAATAGCTGACTCATTGAGTGATCACTATGTTCCAGCAGACCCTGGGGGTGCAAAGAGTTTAGCACTGGGCTACTAACTGGTTCAAATCTACTAAAAGGAGCCTGGCAATTCCTTCCAAAAGTAGAAGCCATTGAAAATTCTATAGTTGGCAGTTGTACTGTCCTATACCTGGGGTCACCATGAGTCAGAATTTACTTGATGACAGTGGTTATTTGTTATTGTTTTGTTTTCATTATGTGCCAGACACTGTGCTAAGTGCTTGATATATGTGAATATCTTATCATCTAGTCATCGTAACAGCTTTGTGGCATAGGTACTACGATTATCCACATTTTCCAAATGATGAAACTAAGGTACAGAGAGTTTAACTAATTTGCCCAAGGTCACAGAGCTGATAAATACTGAGGACAACCTTTGACCCTAGGTCGGAAATCCTCTAACAGGATCACTATGAGTCGAAACTGATTGGGTTACACTTCACAACAGTAAGTCACATGCCACAGATTTTTGTCACCTCCTTTGTTCAGCTACCAATCTGACTGAATTTTATTCACATTTTTTTCTATTTAAGGTCTTACCACCTGATATCCTTCTGAAAGTAACTTAGGCCCCTATTGACCACCAGCAAGTCTATCACCTTTTGACTTTAAGACCCTCGTGGAAGTCCTAATCAATTTAATCTATAGGAAAATGAGCAATATCAACTTCATTTCTATTAGAAAACTCAATAGCTACATAGGTCAGTATTTATTATTAGGAAATATTAATTTAGCTTTGAACCACAATGAACAATGCATTACATTGTTGTTGTTGTTAATTGCCGTAGAGTCAATTAAGACTCATAGCAACCCTGTATGATTGAAGTCGAGTGTTTATTCTAGGGGCTCCACACCAGGACTCCAATGCACTACATAGAACCTATAAAATACAGAATGTGTGTAAAGCAGAAACCTGTCAACAAAAGAAAACTCAAATATTTTCTATTAATGGCGGTTGTTCTTAAGTGCTGTTGAGTTGTTTCTGACTCATAGCGACCCTATGGAGGGTTTCAAGGAGCGGCTGGTGAGTCTGAACCACCGACCTTAGATTCAAACAGACCTTGTGCTTTAGTGCTTATCCTATAGTGCTACACTGCAAAGCCTTGTCAAAGGCAGAAAACTTCTCAGACCCAGAAAAACAAGGTGTCTTATTGAACTCAATCTCTCGTAGGTTTCACTGTGTTTTCAGTGACAATTAGAACATTCTTTTCACCTGGGAAAGAATCTTAATCTTGAAAAATTACTAGTAATCAAATAAAATTCAGATTTTATACTTATAAAAAGACCACACCTGATTTCATAAATACCTCTACTTCAAAAGAGGGTTGAGAACGGTTATAAAAAACCCTGCAAGCATCAGCATGCTTTCAAAGCCATAAAAAGTCTTATCTCAGGACAAAAATCAAGAAGAAAGAGTTAAGTAAAATCTATATTAGGAAGTTTCCTTACTATAGATAAAAGCATAATTGTGAACATATTTATGAAGACCAAACATACTACTCGTTTGCTTTTGTCTAATTTTAAAAAGTCAAAGACCTGTAAAAAAATAAAAAGGTTGCTGGAGGATGAAAAGGGGAAACAAATGATGTTCTGAAAAGGGCTGAACTGAGTTTATGGGGATTCAATAGCATCTGTTGAATAGTGTAAGATTTCTGAGTATGTCTTGGTGAGCATGTGCACACTTTCTGGAGACCCAGAGTTCATACCTGGCATAAGGATCGGAGCACTCTTGGGTGGAGGTTACTTTAACCATGAAAGTTATTGTTGTTGTTTGTTATTAAGTGCCATCAACTCATAGTGACCCTGCACAGGGTTTCCAAAGAATGGCTGGTGAGTTTGAACCACCAAACTCATGGTTAGCAGCCCAGTGCTTATCCTATAGCACCACACTTGGGTAGTGCTAGGTAGAGGATTAATGTCTAGTATTAACCATTAAGATATTGGATTAATGCAGTTTTAGTGGTCAAACTGGCTAGTGAACTTGAGCATTCTATGGACAGAGGGAAAGTTAAAAGTAAAGCTTGCACAAACTAAAATTTAAATTCTTCTGTATAAAACAGTTATTCAGGAAACTTAAAAAAAAAAACACACACACACACACAAAAAACCTCTAGGTAATTTTAAATAATTTTCGTTGAACAGGGAAACACAGACATAAACTCATGAAGAAGAAGAAGAAGCAAAAGAATTGACAGAGATTGTCAACAATTGTGACTATACAATATTAGTTAAAATATCACTTTATTCTATAAAGGATTTGAGGTAAAAACATTTATTGTTGCTGTTAAGTACTGTGGAGTCAGTTCTGACTCAGGACTCTGTTTAGGGTTTCCAAAACTGTAAATCTTTACAGGAGCAGAAAATTTCATCTTTCTCCCACATAAGTAATAACACAGATGTTGAAAAATAAAGTACAATTTTGGCAAAGAGGCATTCAGTTGTTTCAGGATTCCTCATGTGCTTTCCCTCCCCTTCCCCCCCATTGCCGGATTAAGGAGTGTCTCCAAAAGTGGAAGCAAAATGAGAGACGGGACACTTTGGAGGAGAGGGTATGAAGAGCAACAATTGTTCAGAACACGGAGTTTGAGAAACCACTGACTTCCTTCGCTGCATTTTGTATCCCATAGTTTCCTCAATAGTACAGAGCTGAGGAGTTTCATTTCATGCCGGTCTTCAGAGGACTGACTACTCCTAAAAGTCACAAGACATGAAAACTGGTTCTGACAACTCAGCTGGAGTGACAGTAACTCTATTTCTGAAAAGAAATTACCCTGGCAGGAAGCTATTTGCTTCTACATGGTGAGCTTTGGTGACAGAAAGTGAGGCAAAGGGCTCCAAATGATTACTAGCTTTCAGGGTAACCCAATCCACCTCAGCCTTCATGAAAGAATTTTAGAGGTGCCAATTGGAGACATGCCTGCCATTTGCCCCTAAGACTCACTTCTTAAGATTACTACTTGCTCCACATAGTTTTAGTTATTTCACAGGTGTGAGTGTTCATCTGTAGGAGGCAGGTGGTCTTGCCAGCTAGACTGATGCTATATGAGTTCAGGACTTTTCCTATTAGGGCAGAGAAACGGGGTGATTTACAAACTCTAGAGTGGAAAAGGTTTGCTGTTGAACACGGGTGAAAATGGGAGAAATTAACAACCTTCCTTCTAATTTATTCACAAAATATTGCTGCTCGTAACTCTCTATCATTTTCATTTGGCCTTCCATTTCATTTGATCCCAAAAACAACACTGTGCACAAAAGGAAAGATTTGATGAGATAAAAGCAAGCAATGAGAAATGGGCCCCAAATTCTTGCTCTCTTTACATTGTATTTTACAATTTAACAATCTTGGACTTGCTTCTGATAGAAAATATACTTTAGGAATCCTGACAGCAGATTTCTTTTTTTTTTTCAGATCAGAACACAAAAAAAGCACACTTTTGTATGACTACAGGAAAAGTATGCCAATCAATTGATATGAGAAAAAAAAATGTTCAATTAGACTAGTGTAAAAAACAATTTTAAAATAAAATAGAAGAAATACAATTCAACACTGACCTGGTGTAACATGGCTTTAAATGCCAGGTGTCTTAATCTCATTGTTAATATTTCTCCTGCTTTGCCAAAAAACAGTCCCTGGGAATGGGAAGCAAGAAAATTAGCAATTATTTTAAATTCACCTTTCTATTTCTTTTAAACATTCAATTATTATATCTTTATCAAATAGGATGCATTCATGTTCAGACTTCTTTTATTTATTAAATATTTACCTGCATGAAGTAACTGACAAAGCAAATAGCACCCAAAATGACAAATATCATGGAATAAGTCTCTGTCTCATGCTTTAATGTGGTTTTATCATCCTTTCCAAAGACCTGAAAAGGAAAATATTTTTTCACCAGCGATTTGGAAGAAGATATAAAATACACAGGAAAAAGGAAAAGAAAAAAGGAACAAAGTCCAACCCAAAATGTACAATCATCTAGATTTTTTTTTTTTTTTGGTATGGATCCGAATATTAATAATGAGATTATATACATATTTCTGAGACATATGTGTCATTCTATTGTCTACATTCATTACATGTGGTATATAGACTTTGACTTTAATTCTCTCACTTACTATTTAAATATGGGATCAGGAAAGTGAGCCCTCTATCTGCTATCATTATTATGAGCTGTTGTTGTTAAGTGCCGTGCAGTTGGTTCCGACTCATAGTGACCTAGTACAGGGTTTCCGAGGCTGTAAATCTTTACGGGAGCAGAAAGCCTCATCTTTCTCCCGTGGAACAGCTGGTAGTTTCGAACTGATGACCCTGAG